CTAGGCACGAGGCTCTGGTAAATCACAAGATGGCGCCACAGCCCAATCAAGCGCTAATTTAGAATGGTAAAATAGCGTCCTATCAGGTTTAAGATTCGCAACTGTTAGCTGTTCTTGGAAACGCGCAAACTAAATGTTCAAGTAAGATTTTTACACGAACCTGAGCTATACCGACGATTGCTGTGCCAAGAATCTTGTCGTCGGGAAGGAAAAGCTCTGGAACGATAGCATACGCGCTTTCACCACTGACGGCAGCAGCAGAGAGATCCATTGCAGCAAGTATAGCTAGAGTAGATGCCACTGGCATTCCAGCCAGGACTAAATACTCAAAATCACTTCTTTTTTCGCTAACAAAAGACCGTACCTTTTCCAAAATTCACGGCTAAAATTGCTAAAATTCCTATAAAAACACTAAATAGCGTTGGCAGTAACAAGAGAGATCGCCTAGTGAAGTCTTCGAAACATCTGAATTGATCAGACTTTTATTATTTGTTCTTATCGCAATCATGTGTATTGCACATTAACAAGAAATAAACTTACGACAGAAGACCTAAACTTATAAAAGCTTGAGGCAATGACATAAATAACGATGCTCGCTGCGCAGTACCCATAGTCATGCCAAATTTACCAAAAATATGCGTTGAGTATGAGATCCAAAGCTGAAAGAGCACATATTAATTCGATATTTCAACCGGGTCTCATTTTCTTACCCAGTCATCAAGATGGACAAAACTTTGGACAAACAGCCCTAGTAGCAGAGGTCTCACGAATTGACCATTCTAGAAAGTACAGTTCAGACTGAGATCCACATTGACCGCCTTTTCATTCAGCTGTTGCATAAATTAAGGTACACCGAAAAGTGCATAAATGAGGCTCAAGAGCATAGAACCAGTTGGTATAAGCCTAAGCCAGTTGCTAAAGACTAGTTCTGACTGTTGATCCTCTTTATCAATGCTTTTCTTTTTATTCTAATCGTAAGCAGTCTTTTTAGCAATAGCCATCCATCGCAAACCTTACCTTGAACCTCTCCCTCGCGAAACCTATCGTTGATTGGTCAGGATCAATAGGAACATCGTCGTTTTCCTCAAATTTCTTTCGGTTTCCATTTTCGTCGGTGGAAACAGTTTTCTAGAACTTAAGGATTTTTCATAGCAGGATTGTATGTCTGGAATCATTAGAAAACAACTATGAGCAAGCTTTGAAGAAGTAAAAAGGATTAGGGATGGTTTAAAGGCAGCGGCTCGGCAGAATCTCGTTTTTCAGTTTT